CTTCTCTCTCTCTCTCTCTCTCTCTCTCTCTCTCTCTCTCTCTCTCTCTCTCTCTCTCTCTCTCTCTCTCTCTCTCTCTCTCTCTCGATTCTCTCTCCTTCACTCCCACTCTCATCTCATCTGTCTAGCTCTCCCTATCCACTCTCTCTTGATTTCTCTCTCCTTCATGCCCCACTCTCATCTCATCTCTCTAGCTCTCTCTCTCTCTCTCTCTCTCTCTCTCTCTCGGTGGCACACCACCATAAGAAAAAGGGGGTGGAATGCCTAACCCTAGTTAGGGTTTAAAGAGAGAGGCACAAACAGCCCTAGAAAAGGGAGGTGCAAAGGGGTTCCAATAAACCCTAATTGTTTTTTATGCTCTCTAGAAACTTAGTTTGAGATATTGCCTAAGGAAGCTCCCCAGCTCTAAAAATTCATCAAGACCAATCGGAACAAAATGTGCCATTGGTTAGGAAATCGGGTATAGGGTATACTAAGTCCTATGGGGGTGAACCTACGCACATTCGAGTAAGTCTTCCTGGCTGTTAGCTTTTATTTTCAGTCATATTTGCATGTTTATTCTGAATATCTAGGAACATTAGCTGTAACTAAATTGCTAATAGAAGCATGGCATTCATTCCTAGATTGTGTTTATTTAATTTGGCAATAAAAGAAAAAGTCCTAGGGTTATATTTCAGGTATCAATTTTCATTTACAGCAGTATATTGTGGCCCTTGTGAGTGGAATTCAGATTCAACAATAATGAAAACAAAAAGAAAATCCTTTCATAATCTAGAAATCCACACAGCCACATCTTTCAATCCAAACAACAAAAACCATTTATACGAAAATGTTTTTAGTAAAAAATGTATTTCACAAGAAATAGTTTGTTTTTTTAACAATTTTTTCCAAGGACCCAACAGGGGCTTAAGGACACCACATCATTCCAAAAAGATAACAAAGAGGCAGGCAATCTCAAAAGGTGGAGCAACAATCATATAGCAATGAGAGCATTAGGAGCATTTTCAAGCCAAATAATTATGAGTCATAAATATCATTTGAGAATCAAATATAAAAGTCATAGTCTTACCCTCCATCTTTTGGATCATATATTCCTCTAGAAGAGGGCGAAGGGCTTCATAGAGTTCCACCATGCCAAATCCCGTTTCTGCCGAGATTGGTATAGGATCACCAAAACCTAGACTATGAGCTTCTGCTACCACTCCAGTAAGGGATCCACTATGCTCATCCAATGATTCAGATTTATTCATCACCAAGACGATACGGATTCCCGGTGCATTCTTGCGCAACCACTTCCCCACCTCCAGATCTAGTGGTTGGAGTCCATCTCTAATCACATGAAACAATGATAGAAAACGTAGAGAGGTAATCCACATAATTCAACTCCACAAAAGCATAATTCATCACAAGCAATAATGAAAAGCATTAGCAAGTCTACCTACAAATTAACTAACAGAAACTCTCAAACGTTCAGACAAGCATGAAGCAAACCTAGCATCTGTCAAGAATATTGCAAAATGAGATCTTGCCAACACATTTGCAGTCATTCCAGCAGTTCTATCAAGAATACTTCCTGAAGTGGCTACCATTTCTAAACCAGCTGAATCCAATACTTTAAATCTGAGATCGCCTAATTTGGCAACACCTTCTCGTATGTCCCGAGTAACATGATCATCTAGAGTGTTGTAAACAAGAGCTTCTCTCCTTCGTATTAAACTGAAAAATTGCAAAAGAAGACACAAGTAGGGCTTACAATAACATAGATGTAAAATTCTAGAATAGTTACACAAGAACAATTTTCACACTAAATAAAATAAGGATGAGATTAGTACAACAAAAACAAGTTATTGTCCTGCTTTGTCGTACCGGTTAAAGAGCGCCGACTTGCCAACATTAGGGCGCCCAACAAGTATCGCGGACGGGAGCATCCCTATATCAACTTTGCTGAATTCCACCATTGGTTTTATGATATTTTCCTTGCCTTCCATCTCATGATTATCTTCAATATTAGAATAAAACACCAATCATGATATTACATTATCATTTGACATCACCATTAAGAACATAAACCATAATATAGTAATTACTAGGACGAGATAAGTTTTACCCAAGATTCTTGAATGTGCAGATTCTCCTTTCACTCCAAATTCCAAGGCCGTGGAAAATCTCGACAAGGGGAAAATACTTCTATAGTAATTTTCTTTTCTTGCTTCCAAACTTGCGCTTGTAGCAAACTGGGTGATTCGTGAAAATGCCCCTAAGAAAGTTAAAACATATCCTGCTAACGTTAACTAAAATAAAAGTATACTTGCATTCAAATAAACATATTTTACCATGACCATGTACCTACAACAGGAAGCTTGCTATTTTTCTTCTCCCCGAAGCCATACGGATGACGGTATCTCAAGAAGCATTTATTTGTATCAATAGATGATCCGCAAACAATTTTCTGCAAAGAAACGTAAACAAAAATCAGAGGACAAATGTGAACATGCTCTAGTAACATGCATGCATGCATCTATGATGCAGATTATGCATGTGCACGCGTTAGTCATTGAGATGTCACATTGTAATCTCCCTGACGCCCCTCCCACCCTGCCTTGTAACCCCCTTGATGCCCCTCACTCCCTCCTTCCTCCCTCATTCCCACCCTCCCACCCTCCCTCAACCCCTCCATCTCTCACCTAGTAAATCTCGTTGACGTCCCTGCCTCCATCCCTCCCTCACCTTGTAACCTTCCTCCCTTCATCACCTTCTAATCTCCTTGATGCTCCCTCCTTCCTTCCTTCCCTCCCTCACCTTGTAACCTTCCTCCCTTCATCACCTTCTAATCTCCTTGATGCTCCCTCCTTCCTTACTTCCCTCCCTCCCTCCCTCCCTCCCACCCTCACCTTGTAAGCTCCCTCTCCCTCCCTCCTGCCTCCCTCATTTGCTCACTCAATGATTGCAATTGTTTCATTTTGTTTAGTCAGACTTCATGTCATCAACAATAAATGTGCATGCATACTGCAATGTATAATGTGAACATGAATGGTGAGAATAAAATGCATCCACATATGCGTATGCATATATGCATATATACACAATGTATACATGGTGTGCACAAAATGCATGCATGTGCATGTGTGTTCATTTGAATACATCATAGTTACTAGGATCGACCATCATGGGTGGTGTTCTGGCTCCGAAGCCCACTCCCACGACCCTAGGGATCTCAAGGGGGTTGCAATATATTTTATTATGGATCTCAATCCCCCTTTTTAAGAATCTCGATCCCCATTCTTAACGATATTGATCTTCTTATATTATGGCTCTCGAATTTCTTATGTGGGGTCTCAATTCCTTATCATCAAAATCCCAATCCATACATAGATTGCATCTAGATCCCAAGAGTAACAAAGCATCAAATATGAATGGCATTGATACCCAGTAGTGAGGTTCCATCAATAAAGGATTGACATTCCATAGTTCAAGATTCAAAAGCCAATGAATTGAATTTTTATTTTTTTATATTTTTTCTGATTGGAAACTGAACCACAAACAGTTTGAGCTACTATAATCAATCAAACTCAGAAAGTCCTAATGCGTTTTCTACAGATAATAAAAGGACAAAACGTTATGAATAAGGTTATAGTAATATTGTGCAATCAACATGCAGAGTTGATTCTAAGAGTTATTGATCCTAGGATTGGGGATAATAGAAGAGCCATTGATCCAAGGAGTGATAATGGAAAATTCAAATAACTAAATAGCGTTTTATTTGTAATTAACGTGGCCCTTGCTAGAAAATGGTCAATAACTGAATGCAATACAATGCACCTTCCATGCAACATAGTCCCAAAGTCATGGGCCCTGAAGTTGAATTTGGAAAAACCAGTGTTTAAAAAAAAGCCGAGTCGAAGCGGACTCGCCCGGTTCGACTCGGGAATCGCCAAGGAGGGATCGAATCGCTATAAAAAACGGGAATCGTCCGGTTCTCTCTAGAACCGGACGATTCTGCACAGTGACTCGTCGATTCACTGTACGGAATCGACGAGTCCCGTGAAGAACACGGGTTGCACAGTGTTCTTCACGGGATTCTTCGAAATTTGTCATTTTTTTACCATTTTTCTTGTTTTTTTTGGCATGTGATCTAATTTGCAGGCTGTAAACAGCTTTAATCAGCTTTTACACGAATTAAATGGTTGAAAAATTTGGTGTTTTTGGATCACGAAACTTGCATTTTTAGGGTTTTCGCCTTTCCTTGTGTTTCATGCCAAATAGGGCATGAATCTTTCAAAATTTGTAGGCATTTTGATCGTAAAGTTGTGCATCAAA